TACTGACCACTGATTACCCTGTTAGTCTTACTGTAGGGAAGTACATTTTGCAGGTTAAGCCATCCTTGCCTTCCTGGGGTAGATCCAACTTGGTCACTATGCATTTTATAAAATGGGATAATGCAGTTTCTCCTCGTAAACTACCAGGGGAGAGTTATGTGAGTAAAAGATCAGTGGCTGGGATATAGCACACACTCAACAAATGCTAATCATCACCTGTTCCAAGTACTGCTAGAGCCATGCTGCTAAAAGCTTATGATTTATGCATCTATGTTCAGATAAAGATGGACTTGCATTTCCTTTTCTTACACCATTCTTGTCTGATAGTATCATGGACATACAAGCATTATTTAGCTAGAGAAAGTACTTCTTTTTATCTGGAAAAGTTTACATAAAATTATAATTTTTTATTTCTTGCATATTTATTAAACTTTGCCCACAAAACTAAATGGGACGGGATTTTTTTAAATTAAGAAAATATTTGTTGTGCATTGACTCTACAATGCTGGTGCAATTGTCTACTTTATTTGTAACATTCATGTGTGACCCAATATAACTCAAGTGTGACTCAATATAATTCTGTTTATGTCTGTAACCCTCCTTTTGTAGTTTATGAAAAGGCCTTTTATAGTTTCCTCTCACTGAGAATTCAGAGGATACAAAGCAAACAAATGGAGTCTGCACAATTTGAATAAAATAAATTTGTATTTACATTTAATGTAAAACTAAACATTACCTATATAACCATTAATAATGAAAACTGAAAAAAAATTGACTTGGAACTATTGAAATAATTACCTTCAGGGGTAAAATTTATAAACATACACAAAGCCTTTGGTTTGAAATCAGGGACAGACATATTATAATAAATTGTAAAAAACATTGTTAATGAAATGATACCAACTGAAGCTAAGGGGCAGACACCACTGCCACACCACCAGGCTCTCCTGCTCTATATGACCCATGCTTTAACTAAGGCTCCAAAATGGAGACCAGAGTGCCAGTGTGCATACAGATGACAAGAACCTTGGAAGAACTGCTAGATATATTGAGATGAAAGATATAATCTCCAATAAGATCTTGACATGGCAAAGCAATAAGCTGAAATCTCATGAGAAAAAAAAGCATAAAGAATTAAGGATAAGTAAGTCCTTACATGAGGATTAAAAAACCAGCTAAACACCAGAATGCAGTGGAGACTGATGAATATGCTCAAACAACTGTACGTATACACACATTATATATATTGTGCATATACACATAAATGTTTGCATATATGATGTATATATAAAGATGTACATGTTTGTTAAATCAAGTTGTATACACATGCATACATACACATATAATATCCCAAAACAATAACTATATGTATATGTGGAGACTTAATGGACAATAACTTCACCGGGAGTCAAAAGTGAGCTTGTGTGGTGGACAGAAAGTGAATCTGACTCATGGCCTCTGGGAGGGGGGGGGTCCATTTGAGTCCTCAAAATGCACCCGACGGAGCCTGGAGCATCAGGGGCAGCATGGATTGCCCATGATGACAACAGGGAACAAGAGGGTGGCCATGCAGAGGGACTGGGGTACACCCCGCAAATGCAAATGAATGTAGAATCAACTCATCATCTGCTGAGTTGAAGGAACTGGGAGGAAGCCATGGTGGTTACATCAGAGGAGGAAAGCCAGCGCAGGAAGGAGTGGGAGGTGTCACCGTGTGTCCCCACATCTAGAAGCTTGATTATGAAGAGCAATAGGGGTTGATGGCCCAACAGGACAATAGCCTAAGCCCAAAGTGGGAAGCCCCAGAGAGAGAACTTTTAATTCAGCCTGTGGAAGAAAAGCTGAGCACTTGGATTTGTCTAGAGACGACATGTGTCCTCACAGGAAATGGCAAGTTCCCTGGTCCCCAAGGGATTGAAATATAGGGAGGCAGTCATGATTGGCTTCAACATCCTGGCTAATATTTATGGGGAGCTGGGTTCTGCCCAGAAAGATAAGAATTCAAGTGTTGGGTGGAACTGAGATTCAGCTGTGGGGGTGGGCTGCAGTGTGACATGGCCAGGGCCGATCCCCCTGGTAACCTCCCAGAGCATCAGCTTGCCAGTGTACAAAGTGCAATGGTAGGTATTTGTGGGGTTGTGGGATCCTGTATGTACTCACACTACTGCTGGCATCAGCCTGGCTTTCTTTTTTGTTTTTTAAATTTATTTGTTCTAATCAGTTATACATGACAGCAGAATGCTCTTTGATTCATTGTACACAAATGGAGCACGATTTTTTATTTCTCTGGTTGTATCCGAAGTAGGGTCCCACCATTCATGCAGTCATACATGTACCTAGGGTAATGATGTCCGTCTTATTCCACCATCTTTCCTATCCCCATACCCCTCCCCTCTCTTCTCCCCTTTTCCCTATCCAAAGTTCCTCCACTCATCCTATGCTCCCTCCCTCTGATAAGTGATTAACATCCACTTATCAGAGAAAACATTCGGCCTTTGGTTTCTCAGGATTGGCTTACTTCGCTTAGCATGATATTCTCTAACTCCATCCATGTACCTGCAAATGCCATAATTTTATTCTCTTTTATTGAATAGCCTGGGTTTCTTTTGGGGTCCGTTCTTTCTACACTTCCCATCTGGGTGGTTCTGCTGTCAGGCTGGCTCGTGACCTAAGCCTGGCCAAGGATGTACAGTGTGCCCTGGCAGTGATGATGGGCTGGTTCAGAAATGGTCTGTGGCCCATGTCAGGGCAAGCAGACATGAGGCTGGATGGCCTGGGGTACAGCCAGTATTTGTGATGTCATGGACAAGGAGCTGTGGCGGCCCACAGTGGAACACACAAGTAAACCCAGCCGCAGGGAGCAGAACTGTGCAATGACCTTCAGTACAACCACTGAGCCACTGGAGAAATCTGATATACTTACTAGTGGACTTCTTCGGTCATGTGCCAAAGAGGAGTTGTTCCTCCTCCTTTCCCTCCTCCTTTTCTCCTTCATCAAACCATTTATACCTGAGGCTTTTACTACTCAAAATACTACCAACTATAAAATAGGATAAGAATAGTACCTCAGTTTGGGGTTCTTGTGGGCATTACATGATACAGTGGGTACAAATGGATTAATGTCATAAAGAATGCATGCAGTAAACTTCAGCCATTGTAATTATTATTAACGTCATTATAATAATTTTGGTCAAGTGGTTGGCCATTCAGAAGAAGAAATATGAAAATTAGGATACTACAGGTCAAAGTTGACAGTCTAGAGGCAAGAAAAACTACAGTAATGAAGAATGAAGTCCCAACATGCCTCCTAGAGCTGTTCGGCAGGACTAGACAAAGATTTGAAGAGCAGAAAATCTGCTACTCAGAGACAGCAAAATTCCTTCCGTGTTGCTACTCATGTGGGCCATGGGGGACTTTTACTGTCACATTGATCCTGAAAATCTAAATCCTGAAACACGCAGTCCCAATCTTTTGTAGCTCGAGTTACCATTCATTTCATGGTAATTTTCATGGTGCCAAATCAAATAAACCAAATCATTTGTTTATTTCAAATGCTTGCAGTGAATTTAGAAAGTATACTTTGTGTTTCAAAGATTTCTTTGTCACTGAAACCATATTTTTAAAAATCTCAAATGGATGAGCTAAATTCTTGGCGGCTGTAAAGATATCATTCAATTTTTTTTCATAAATCTGTTAGTAGCACGTTGGACTACCACGGTCTTGAAATGCTTGTGTGTTTCAATGTTTGCAAGTCCTATGAATTTGTTCCAATAGTGTTTCCAAGGAGGTGAAAAAGTATAATTGTTTTTCTGGACTTTTAGCAAATTCAATATCACATATAAAGTGAAATTAGCATTTAAATTCTATAGCCAAAGGAAATTAGAAATAAAAATCCTGACTGGGGTTATTAATGACAACTCTTCACAGGCGAGTACAAGGTCGAGAGAGAGACCTTACCATTCAGCTTGCCTCAGATATATCTGAGCATCAGCAGACACTGGGAGGACCCACTCAGAGGTCTAGGGGTGCAGAGAACCCTCCTTAGGAGGTCTACAGTAAGCTGGTGCTGGGAATAGGAGGACTGAGCTGGCATCCCAAGCGCTAGGCAGAACTGGAGGACTGGTTTGTTGTTAATCCTAAGGGCTGGGTGGAACTAAGGGACTAATTAATTGGTAATTCTGAGGATGGATGGAACCGGACTGCTAGTTTTTATCTCATCAGTTGGACTGGGAGCACTTCACAGTGTGGAAGCTCCACCTGGGCGTGTGGGGTGTGTCCGTGAAATAAGGGGTAAGTAACTTGTGAATTTCACAGGTTTTTTTTTTTTTTTTTTTAAATGAGACTGGGGGCATTTGAATACATATCACTTATATTATCTCTTGTTGTCTGATCCCAAATTTTACAAAAAAAGTTTGGGATCTGAAGCCAAAAGAAAAAGAGAAGACAAGGTGAATATTTTGTGTGGAGTAATTTGACCTTGTCTGTACTTCCAAAGTTGGAACAATTAAGAGAGAGGACCTGGTTTGATTTTTTGTGGCCTCTCTCTTTTAAGTCACTACCAAGTTATGATCACATTGAAGAAGACATTAAACACTCTGGTGTATTTCATCTAATCAAGGGCATTTTTTACTTTTGGAAACCATGGGAAGAAGAGGTTCTCAGTACCGCCAGCAGTGGGGCCTGCCCCACCATCACAGAGACACCCTCTAGAGCTGGAGTTGGAGCAGGCGGCCAGGGTGGTGGGAAACAGCCCCCTGGACTGGGATATGCAGAATTGGAGGGGCGCCTACCGCTTGTCCAATGTGTCCAGGCAACTCATCAGATGGACAGAAGCCTCAGCCAGACTAGAGACTTTATGTATGCTCACAAGTCACTTAGAAGCAGGGCCGAAGACCAGGGGTCCTCACCTCCAGATCTCCCTCCACAAACCATAAGCACTTAGGAAGACACCTCTAGACAACCCCAGAGACATGCACCTGAGCTTGGCCTTCACACTGTACCTTGAAGTATGCTCCTGACTATCACCTCGGTGTGCTCGGCCAGGAGCTCCGCCTTGGCGATGGCAGCCAGACACAGGTAGTTAGACAGGCTCCTGCGCAGCTCCCTGCTGCCTCTGTGGAGGAACTTCACGGCAATGGGGATGGCTAGTGCCATCACAGGGGGCCGGTTGTAATTCTGGGGAAACACAAGAAAGCAACAAATGACAGCGACTCACTGTTCACTCATGTACTTAACCATCCCAAATATTGCCTGGGCCAAGCTCCCAGAATGCACCTGTGGAAACGCAGGCTCTGCCCCACCTACGTGGCACCTGGGAACTCTCGGTCTTTTTGGGGAGAATTTGACAGGCTGTTGACAGAAGAAGCAGAATGCAGGGTGCCCAGGGAGCAAAGAAGGGGCATCAAGAAGGGTCAATAACACTTCCTGGAGGAGGCGACATCTTGGCTGGGACCTGAGAGGTGCACAGGAGATGGCTGGTTATGGATAGGAAAGCTGTGGACACAGGAAGAACCCTGTGGAGGCACAGGTGAGGAGCCCTTGGTGCCCTGGGTGGGGAGATGGAAATAGCTGCAGATGGATGGGTGGGTGGGTGTGGGGAAGCCAGGAGGATGGAGCCGCACACAGAGGCACCAGGAAGAAAGGGGATTAATCTCCATGGCAGCCAGGAGTCCGTGGGAGAGGAACACTCCTCAGAGAATACAACCAAAGGAAAACTGAAGAAGTCACTTTCTGACTGAAACTTAAAAACTGCAGCTCTGTGCAGTCAATCCAAGAGGAACGCGGAAAGAAGACGCGGCAGAGACATACAATGGAATATCACCCAGCCATAACAAAGAGCTCATCCTGTCATCTGTGACATGGAGGGAACTGGAGGCCATTCTGGTAAATAAAATACATCAGGCACAGAAAGAGGGAGCTAAAAGAGGTGACTTCATAAAAGTAGAGAGTGGAATAGTGGCCACTAGAGGCTGGACTGTCAGAGAACCAAAGCACATTCTGGAGGGAAGAGTACCTATCGTGCTCAACACAGCAGGTGGCTTAGTTCCCAGTGATTTATTATACAGTTTATAAAGGCTCTGAGAGGGGGGTGTAAAGCTTCCTGACACAACTCAAAGAAATAACAAGACTTTAAAGGGAGGGAAACGCTACCTGCTCTAATTCGCCCATTGCATGTTATGCACAGGTGTCAAAATCACCCCCTGCCCTACAAAGATGTACAAGGTCATGTGTCAACCAAAAAAAACCAAGAAACTAAAGTTTCAGCTGAGATTCAGAAGGAACAAATACTGAACCTTTGACTAAAAACATAAGGCATTCTGTACCCTAAAAAATTCTCTTCTTGATTGATTTTGTAACTGAACATAAATACCCTTGCATATAAAATACTTCTATTGGCATGTAGTTACCTAATTAGGAAATAATATTTGGAAGACACAAGTTGTTTTCTTAAAAATGAATGACACACATTAGTATCATCAACTTCACCTCTCTGTTTGGGAAAGGAGTTCATATTATGATATCACAACAGAAAGGTGGTTGTTTGGAGGGTCCTCTAGCTCCTCCCATAATTCTGGGTTTATGAGAAGTCCTCAATAAACACCTGGTTAGTTGAATAACTGATGAAGCCAATGTTGATGTAAGGTGACAGTTGTCACTGGGACGTAATACAGGGGAAGGCACCGATGGAAGAACAGCCTCTGGATCCTAGTCTGTCTACCCCCATCCTGGTGGGTGATCATGGAGGTGTGGCCCAACTCTAGGTCTTACTAGTAAAAGCAATTACCAACCAAACAGTGTTTGATAAATAGACCCCAAAGCAGTAATGGCATAAACTGCCTGGCACAGGAAGATGGTAGGCTACTAAGGGACCATTCTCTTGCTTGTAAAGAGGACCAACTCAGGATTGCTGTGCTAATAGAGGTTCACACTCAGGCCATCAATACCAGGTAAATTGTGATCAGATTCAGAACACTGAGGGGGAAACCTAGAAGAGTGGACAAGAGTATTATTACAAACAATAATGACTCATTCCTTTTTTATTTAGCAATAAATTCCTGAATTATGATGGGACAGGGTCTCATGGCTAAAGATAGCCTTTTTTAGTCTTCTTTGCTATCAGATGTGGCGTTGTGCAAAGTCTTGGGCGATGGGATAGGAATGGCATTAAGGTATTCACTTCTAGCTTCTCCTTCCTTCTCTCCCTTAGGTGCTGGTTGGAACAGAGCTATGGTAACAAAGATGGAAATAGTCATCCTAGATCATAAGTTAGAAAACATGCATGGGTAAGGCAGAGAAGATAGAAGGGGCTTGGGCTGGAGACCAGGAGTTAGAAACCATGCACAGCTAATGCAAAGAAGATAGACAGAAGGTGCCTGGGTTGGAGCCGCCATCGAGCCACCATTAAGAATGACACTCTTGAGTTGTTTCATGGGAGACAATTCAAGTCCTGTGCTGTTCAGTCCTCTGTCATAGGTCTTCATTACAGCAGCCAAACCTGCGTCCTGACTAATACAATGTAAAGCCAGACTTTACTTTTAAACTTTCCCCTAAGCTTAAAGGGAACGTTATATAATCCTAATATTATAAAATGTATAATTCCATTTTTGCACATGGAATTATACAAAAAGGATAACAGGAAGGACATGAGGCAAGGATTGTCACTGATACATGGGATCCCTGAGCAACCGGATGTCATCTTAGAAACGAGGCAGGTGGGGCCACTGGATATTTGTACCAACCATCACACCAGCCATAATGAGATTCAGCTCCAGACAGATGCATATCTACAGATGAGAAGAAAGCACAGGAAACATCCTAACATCCTCAGGTAGACAAAGGCTCCCCACCGCCTGCTCAAAAACTTAACAATGCAGGAAACATCACAATGTGGATAAAAGGAAGAACTTCTAATCATTCTGTGATATCTCTAGGAAAGTGAAAAGATGGTCCAAAGATGGAGAAGATATTTGTAATAATTCATCCAACAAAGGTCTACTAGCACCCAGAATACACACACAAAAAAATCCAAATCGATAAGACACAACCAAATAAAAAACTAGAGGATTTAAACAGATATGTTACACAAGAAGATATCAAAGTGGACCAAACACAAAAATTCTCTCAATTGCATTAATTATTAATTTAGGTCTGGGTTCTGATTATATGGCTGTGTTTAGTGAGAATCATTAAGATGTGATATGACCTCTTTTCTGAAAAAGAGGTGCAGTCACGTAAATTCAGATTTCATGTATTTTTTAAGTGAGCTCAAAAGTTAGCATAAATGCAGGCCTGAATATTTAAGCATACCTAAACACCTCCTGTAGGGCTTATGAATGACAGTGACCAACAGTGGCAAGTCCAATGCAGCCAGGAATATAATACAGTGGTGACAGTGTCAGGAAGATGACTCCCTAACTTATGCTGAGCACATATTATGGGATGGCTGAGACAGTCCAATGTGTGCTCCTACAAGTGTTGGTCATCTTGAGGGGGATGACGTTGTACTACTCAATCTTGGTGTCCAGTTCATAAATACTTCCTGACATCAAAGAAAATGTCATTGCTCTGGTTTTCTTCCACCTTCAAACCTCAACCTCCTTAGACATCCATTCATCCTCCCTCTGAGACTCCACCCTTATTCCCCTTTGAAGAACCATCCCAGATGCTCACAGTGGCATTTCTGTCTGAGGTCTTGAGGGCTCGGACACAAAAACCAAAATTAAGAACCCACAGAAGGGCTGTGTAAAAGGCTTTCTTCTGCTGGATTCAAGGAGGTGAGAGGGAAAGATCCAGAGTAGCTGCCACCCTCTGTGACCTCACTGCTAGGGACCCTTATGAAACTCAAGGAAATTTGGATGTCCCTGAGAGACAAGTTGGGCCAGACCTGGACATGCCTTTCAGCTCCATGCTGTGGCTGTGCTGAGGCTGTGGTTTTCTAAATGAGCCAATCAAATCTCCTGTGCTTGAGCTCCCCCTCCCTTCTTGTCACTAGAAACAAAACTACATCTGGACAATCTTTAATCCATTCCTGTACTTCCATCCATTTTCCAGACCCATGGGTCCCTCTGACCCCTAGGCAGAAAAAAGGAGTCCTTACCAGCCGAGCTAGGTATCCCATCATGAAGCCACCTCTGACTCTAGGCTCTGTGACAGAACATGTATCTAGACTGCAGCTCTACTCAGTAGATCATCTCACATCTCCTAACACCACCCAAGTATCAGGAGCATGGCCTACAGCCAGACTCTTCTGAATGTCTTTGGATTTTCTCTTTTTTCTGGTGAATTAAAGTGGGCCTGATTGGATTGGTCACTACTGCTGAGTCAGGAGGCCTCCCTGGGAGACTGGCTGCTCCCCCCAACCCCCAACCCCTGGAGGGCTGCTCTCAGCCTCAGAATCCTGGGCAGATGCTGGGTCAGGCCACACAGAATGTTTGGATCTGCCAACTCTTTGATTCAACTCACACCAAAGAACTTCAAGCTGGTGCATCTCAGTCATCCAGTGGATTCACCCACAGAGGGAGACTTCCCGAGGTCAGGCCCTGGGCATTGCTTTCTCGTTCTCAGGATACCAAGGAGCCAGACCAGGACCCAGAGTATTTACACAAAGGCACAAAGGGGGCACAAAGGCAGACCAGACCAGAGAGATACTGAGGGACGTTTCATCCAGGACCTCGGTGAAACCTGATTCTAATAACACGCCAGTCCTAAGCAGAATCTCCCCCTTTGCTAACTGCAACTTTCTATCCATCGAGTCCATTCTATCTCCCACATACCATCTCCCTATCCCTCAGTGCTGAATAAACTTGCCAAACCAGTGCTCCCACACTCTGCAGAGGTGGTGTTTAACAAGGGTAATTGACTTGGCCAGTTTCTCAATTTGCCCCCATCCTATACCTTGAGGCTACATTCAAGTCACTTCAGTTAGAGCACTGGATGTTCCCAAACCCCACAGTCTCATTTGGGTCACTCCTCTAGGCAGCCAGTCTGTCCATTACATGGAGGCCTTTGATGGGTGAACTTTAATACAGCATACCCTTGTCCCCATAGTGATGGGTCATCACTCTGGCCTCAAGGGTGAAACACAATCACATAGTCTTTAGTGCTTTCCAACCAAGAACTCCATGCCCAAGTTTACTTCATCTACTCCGAGTCTTTTGCCAAAAACCATTTGCAGT